AGCTGCCACCGAAAAGGCTCTGGCCCTGGTAGTAGCCAGCCTGGCCTCCTTGGGACCTGGCATAGCCAGGAGGTGTTGCATCCCAGACCGTAGTGCTCGTGGGGGAACATATGGGGAAAGGCGGTCCCTTAGGTATGCTGGACCCCGGGCATTGAGAGCTTTAAAGGTAAGAACCAGCACTTTGAAGCGAATCCGGTACGCTATCGGCAGCCAGTGCAGCACTTTCAGCACAGGCCGGATGTGGTCCCTACTAGGAAGACCCATCAGCAGCCTGGCCGCAGCATTCTGCACCAGCTGCAGCTTCCGGATTTGCGACAGAGGCAGCCCCATGTAGAGAGCGTTGCAGTAGTCTAGCCTCGAGGTGACCGTCGCGTGGATCACTGTGGCCAAGTCACTGCGGTCGAGGAAGGGAACCAACTGCCGCACCAGCCGAAGATGGTAAAAAGCTGACTTGGCAGTGGCTGCCACCTGGGCCTCCATAGTTAGCGAGGAGTTCAGGAGCACTCCCAAACTCCTAACCTCCGGCGCTGGCACCAGAGGCACCCCATCGAAGGTCGGGAGAGGGAGCCCCAACCAGTGTTCCCTCTAAGCTGAGTTAGAGTGAGCTAGCTCACAGTTTTTTATCCTCCAGCTCACACATTTTTGTCTCAGCTCAGGAAGGATGGCTCCGGAGCAAACTCGTTTATGCAGGAGCCAAATCGCTCACTCACAACTTTAATGCCAGTAGCTTACAAAGTAGAATTTTTGCTCACGAGACTCCACAGCTTAGAGGGAACATTGGCCCCAACCCCAGACCACCCCGAATCAGGCCCAAGACCTCTGCCTTTAACTTCAGCCAACTCAGTCGGAGCCAACCAGCCACAGCCTGCAACGCCCGGTGCAGATCTTCTGGACTAGAGCCTTAAGAATTCTGTGTCATGGATACACTGGTTGTTCCTCTAAATAAGACAAATGTGGCACATAAGTGGTGTTATATGTATTTGATTTGCTTCACTGTTTTTGACACTGGGTCCTCTGCCTGCACATAGCTTTAGTTCCTCATTTCTGTTTATGGCTCATTTGATTTCTGTTTATGGCTCACTGTTCATGATCTAGATTATGTTGTCCCAACCATTTATTTATTTATTAAGGATATTTTTAATGCTGCCTCTTCAGAGTCCTACTCAAGGTGGCTTACAGTTTAAAGCAATGTCACATTATAAAAACAAGCCATTGGACACAAACAGCATTAAAAAAAACTATCCATAAAACAAAAGCAAACCATTTAAAAGCTTGGGTAAGAAGATGTGTTTGGGCATGGCACCTAAAAGAAAGTAAAGTGGGTGCTAGATGTTGTCCATAGCCCCACCCAACTCATACACATTAATTTTCATTTGTAAAAAAGTGAACGGCATATAATTACCTCTCTGTCTAGAGGTTGTCGGAGCCACACAACTCCAGTCATGCTTTCCACTGCAAAGAATCGGCTAGCTTCCTCCCCGACCACTCCAAATACAAGAGGATCATTATCAAGGTCCCGGGCAAGCAACTGGGTCACTGACGAACCTACAAGAAGACAAGAGGAAGAAAAACTCAGAAAAATAGAAACATGATGAATTGGAATGATAGACATAACTATTTTTTCGAAACAACAAAAGGCTATTTTGTTAGATTAACAGATTTTTTCTTCAGAAAAACCTCCTTAGGGAAAAAAGTTTCATCCAAACTCATCCAGGTCCTTTGCTCTCGCTGGCAGGGGGTGGGAAGGAGCTTTCTGGGAGTGAGGGGGCGACGTTGCCGCACATGATGATGTCACATGGAAGTAACGTCATCATACTGGGGATGTCACACAGTGATGCTCTGTTGGTGGGAAGGAGCTTTCTGGGAGTGAGGGGGCGACGTTGCCGCACATGATGATGTCACATGGAAGTAACGTCATCATACTGGGTAACCATAGAGTTTTGCCCAAAATACCTAAGCATCACGGCACAATGTCCTTGGTGTGATGACATCACTTCTGCACAACAACATCACATTGGGGATGTAGTGCTGGGTCATGGCTGTTGGGGCGGGGCTCCCCCACTGGCCAGCAGGCCACGAAATCAGGATCCCCCACTCCCATCTGGGGGCTGGCAACCCTAATGCAAACACATGAGTAGATAGTGGAAGATTCTGGAAATTTAGTTGACCGAATCTAAGATGCTGCATGCTTTTAGGAGCCATCAGTCTTTTACAGCTGTGATTTAGTCATGAGGGTAAAATGATATAGAGGATTACAAGTGACTCTGTATAGGAGTTATACACAGGAAGCATATAATAATATAAAATACGTAACCAAGTTGATACAATGGGAATGCAGACCGATTGGGTAATCCCCCTAAATACTAATATCCAGGGGTCATTTCCTGCGGGAGCACACAGGAGTGGAGCTCCGGCAGTAAGGAGCCCAGGGGGCGGGCACATGCAACAAGCCCTGCCCCCTGCTCCCAGCAGCCCTCAGTCAGAGCAAGAAGCAGCCAGGTAAGTTGCAGAGCTCCCCCCAGCTCCCCGGTCCAAAACAGTCCACTGGCACCTTTAAGACCAAGTTTTATTCACATACAAGTTCTGCCTCCTCTGCGAGGACAAATCTGCACGTCCCCCCCCCCCAATCCAAAACAGTCCAGTGAAGCCTGAGCGGTGGGTGTTGCCTTCTGACACACTTCCGGTGATGTCAGGGGGTGTGGCATATGCAAATAAGTTATGCTAATGAGCTCCTGCACCTCTTTTTCTACACAGCTGTCCTTGAAAAAGAGCAGTTTGTGTCAGAGTTCTCTCAGCCCCACCCACCTCACAGGGTGTCTGTTGTGGGGAGGGGAAGGGAAGGGAAGGGAAAGGAGTTTGTAAGCCGCTCTGAGACTCCAAGTGAAGGGCAGTGTATAAATCCAATCTCTTCTTCTTCTTCTGATAGGATCAGCTGACCTATGAGAGGTGCACATTGCCCCAGGCAGTTGATCTACATGCTTTGAGCATGAGCTGGAAAATAGATATAAAGAAGGAATGTCTATAGGAAGCCCGTCGTAAGTGAAGGAGGTGTTCCTACCCTGACTCCTGAACTTAAGCCAGGTCAAAGTAGGAGGGAGACATCTTTGTTTTAGCTGTTTTCCTTTTCTGAGATTCTTTGCTATATAGTTCCCTAAGCAGGAGGTAAAGCTTGTAAAAATGCACTCTATTTCAGGGGGTTTCAGAAGAGCTATTTGAAGCAGTAAGTTTTTTTAGGAACACATAAAAATGGTTTAAAACTGACATTTTCAGGTGTACATGCTTGGCAAATGCGCATCATACAGATATACTCATCAGAGGGTCCCAGGATTAGCTGTCCCTTCTATTCAACTGACAGACCCAAGTTGCTGCAAATAGCACATGTGGAACAGCTGTTTACTTGGCAGTGCAGCACAACTCCCCCTCCCTTTGCACTTAGAAACATTTCTACTTCAGCTATGAAAGTGTGGTTTTCCCTGCAGGCACCATGAATTTGTTATACTTCAGGGTGCTACAGAACAGCTATTTTTGGTTACAGATGAACAAGACTCACCTTCTGGATTCCCCCCCCCCCCCCCCAGATAAAGCAAGTGGTAGGATAAATCTCTATCCAAGGCACAACAACTCCCTCCTCTTTAGAAGGGTTTTGAATAGCCCTAATTTCCTTTGTAGCAAAACCATATGTTAATTTTCAACTTGGTAGCAAAGTTACCCTTGCCCTGCTGAGTCAGCCCTTTGTGTAGAGACTGCACGTCTTGACAGAAAGGAATTGATGGTCATTGGAAAGCCAAATTAGCTTGGAAGTGCCCTGGCAGCCCCCCAGCTGAGCCAATCTCAGGAAAGTTGCAGAGCATACATGCATCTTCTTGAGTAAAAACCTGACACACAAACCACTCAAGCAATAAAAGGTAGCGACAGCACCAACCATTTCACTTCAACAAACCAACACACGGACATCCCTTCTGTGACATTTCAATACTCAGCCTCCAGGGCCCATATTTTTATAGAACTGCTACTATGCTGCTTATAAAAACCTTCCATATCCATCTCAAAAAAAAGGATCACAAAACCATGGGGAAAATCAGGTGAAGCCGCGAGTCAAAATGCGGCTGCGCAGCTTCGAGTGGGAAATTGACCAATGGAAACACGGCAAAGGGAGGTGCGACGGCGGTGCAGCTCCTTGTGCGAAATCAGCCTCAGTCACACACAGTAGGGCAAGAAAACTAGAAGCCCTCCCACTGTTGCCCCCCCCAAGGACGAAGAATACAATGCATCACTTGCCCCAGACTGAGAGTTCCTATCTATACCTTGTGGCTAATAGCCACTGATGGACCTCTGCTCAATATGCTTATCTAATTCCCTCTTGAAGCTATCCATGCTTGCAGCTGCCACTACCTCCTGTGGCAGTGAATTCCATGTGTTAATCACTCTTTGGAGGAAGAAGTACTTCCTTTAATCTGTTCTCACCCGACTGCTCAGCAATTTCATTGAGTGCCCACGTGTTCTTGTATTGTGAGAAAGGGAGAAAAGTACTTCTTTCTCTACCTGCTCTATCCCATGCATAATCTTATAAACCTCGATCATGTCACCCCTCAGCCATCATTTCTCCAAACTAAAGAGCCCCAAGCAGTTCAACCTTTCTTTATAGGGAAAGTGTTCCAACCCTTTTATCATTCTACCCCTTTTCTGCACTTTTTCCAATACTATAATATCTTTTTTCAGGTGTGGTGACCAGAACTCTACACAGTACTCCAAATGAGGATACCATCGATTTATACAGGAGCATTATGATACTGGCTGATTTGTTTTCAGTTCCCTTCCTAATAATCCCCAGCATAGCGTTTGCCTTTTTTATTGCAGTCGCACACTGTCTCGACATTTTCAGTGAGTTATCTACGGCGACTCCAAGATCTCTCTCTTGGTCAGTCTCTGTCAGTTCGGACCCCATCAATGTGTATTTATATTTAGGATTTTTGCTCCAATGTGCATCACTTTGCACTTGGCCACACTGAACCCCACTTGCCATGTTGACGCCCACTCGCCCATCCTTGACAGATCCCTTTGGAGTGCCTCACAATCCTCACTGGTTGTCACCACCCTGAACAACTTCGTGTCATCTGCAAATTTAGCCACTTCACTGCTTACTCCCAATTCTAAATCATTAATAAACAAGTTAAAAAGCATCAGACCGAGTACTGATCCCTGTGGTACCCCACTGCTTGCCGCCCTCCACTGAAAAAAATTCCCATTTATACTCACTCTCTATTAGCCAGTTTTTGATCCACAAGAGGACTTGTCCTTTTATCCCATGACTATTGAGCTTACTTAGGAGCCTTTGATGAGGAACTTTACCAAAAACCTTCTGGAAGTCAAGAAAAACATCTATTGGGTCCCCCTTGTCAGTGAAAGCAAACTCCAAACTGTGGATTGGATTATTTCTGAATACTGCTAACACCAGTTACTGCCTGCCCCAGGCCATGCAGTGCTCAGGTGGGCTGGGTGTTCCTCCTTTGCTACCGGGCTGGTAGCCCAGGTAGGTGGGAAACCATCAGGTCACTGGGAGATGTCTCGGCGCCAATAACAGCCTAGTAACTCTTCTCTTTCTGAGTTCTGATTTCTGCCTCCATATGGAGATAGGCTTCTGCAATGAAAGGGGCTAGCTAAATATTTACTTTTTTTTTTTAAGAAAGTTGGAAATTCACAGAACCAAATACTCAGATTGATATAACCCAAACTTTCCCACCCATAGAACAGCCATCCAGGCTTGGCTATGATTTTTTCACAGAACTTCACAGCAAAGCAGGTTTGGAAAAGATAAAACACACGCATGCGCTCACACACACAAACCCTGGAAACCTGGAAAGAGAACAAATGCACTATAAAGCTATGGGGAAGCAGGAACCTGCTTCCCAACAGTATTGAACCCAGAGAAAATAACCCATGTGGAAAACATCTAAGCATTACCTTTTGCAACAGATCATAAGTAGCCATGCAAAATGTGATCCATCTGATGTATTAACAAGTATTAGACCTAGATCAAACATTTGGCTTGGTTTAGTTTCTTGCAATTCCATTCTCTCTCTCTGAGTTTTACTAAAACTTGCTTTTTAATTCAAGTAAGCCTCCACATTACATCCTAGGGTGAGTCTATCTCCTCTTATCATAATCCCAAATTAATGGCAAAAGTATTTTTGCCCAGGTACTGAGAAAGGATATGCTAAATGTATAGGGGAAAGGGTGCTTAGAGACTGGAAGCTGTCAGAATTATAATTCAGTACCAAACTGGATCTCTCACATATCAGTCTGGTATATCAAGATCAGTATTGTTTACTCAGAATGGTAGCACTTCTCTTGGGTTGCAAACAGAAATCCTTCATATCACCTCCAACCTTAGCATTTTATCTGGAGATGCCAGGGACAGAACCTGGGACTTGTCACAGGCAAATCAGATTCTCTGCTACTGAGCCAAAGCCTTTTGCACAACAGCTGCTCATTATGGAACCTGAAGGTAAGTTCAAACATTAGTAATTAGTCATCTCCAGCAGAGA